TCTTCATTTTCTATAATGCTGGAATAAAAGTATCTTGGGAAGCCCCAGTCAGTTGCAAAATCACAGCCTGATATTAACAGACAAACAAAAGCCTGACATTACTACTTCCAAATCTGAGCAATTACCAAAAAATGCAGAATTATGGAGGTACAGTTTTCTTTTGACAGTATGATCTCAGAAGTTCTTGAAGTAACTGAATTAAAGTTTTAGTAACATAAATTGTCTGACTTACTGAATGAGCTCTAAGGACAGCAATTATCTTTGAGAGGGCCATGTTCCAAAGTTCATCAGTGTATGCCCTGGTTACTAATCCTTGGGTCACATGTAAAATGTGATCTTCCACCACAAAGAATCTAAAAACAGTAATCACCAACATAGCATGTGTTTAAAAAAAACTCATATAGAAAATAAATATTTATGTCATTTAACATAATAAAAACTTAATAATAGTTATTTCCATATTAGATACATACCCTACAATTTGAGTGAAATATCTTCTATAGCCATCAACTGTTTCATGCTTTAAATGAAAAATAAAAATAAATTTAAACCAATAAATACCAATAACATAAAAGTAAGTTCCAAGTCACTTAAATTTCATAAACAAATATTTATTGAGAGCCTACTATATGCTGCATACATTTTTAGGCATCAGGGATATACTTGTAAATAACAAAAAAGTCCTTCCCCTCATGAATCATACATTTGAAAGGAGACAGACAATAAACAAGTTAAAGCCACCACCATCTCTCACATCTCCCTCCTACCTCATCTCCCGAGCTTCCAGGTTTGTCCCCTGCAGTCTATTCTCCATATATAGCTGCCAGAATGATACTTTTCAAACAGTAACCAGATCATTATATCTTCTGGCACAAACCTTTGAATGACTTTTCATCTGATTCATAACAAAAGTCAAACTCCTTAAAAATGATCTACAATTGCCTACTGTTTATAATTTTAACAAAAGGCATAAGGAAAATATTTGATCATTTGATTTTCATTCATAAAAAGTTTATTATATGAAATATTTCATTATTTCAATTAAGTTCAAATGTATTTTGCATACTTCATAAAGGTCATCAATTTTCAAACATCTGGTTTTTCTCAGGTTCTTTGGGGGAGGATTGTTAATACGTTTTAGCTTAAAAATACTATGATGAGAAAATGTAGTCTACACAACATCAAATGTTTGATATTTCCTGATACCTGCTTTATATAGTATGTAATCAAATTTTTCATAGCATCCCTGTATGCCTGACAAGAATAGGTTTCTACAGTTGCTGAAACAGGATCCTGTACATTCCATTAGATCNTAAGTTCAAATGTATTTTGCATACTTCATAAAGGTCATCAATTTTCAAACATCTGGTTTTTCTCAGGTTCTTTGGGGGAGGATTGTTAATACGTTTTAGCTTAAAAATACTATGATGAGAAAATGTAGTCTACACAAACATCAAATGTTTGATATTTCCTGATACCTGCTTTATATAGTATGTAATCAAATTTTTCATAGCATCCCTGTGTGCCTGACAAGAATAGGTTTCTACAGTTGCTGAAACAGGATCCTGTACATTCCATTAGATCAAGCCAATTAAGCATGTTCTGTACTCTTACTGATATTCTGTCACCCTGGTTTATAAGATACTGAGACATGTTTTAAAATCCACTATGCTTATGGAATTTTCTATTTCTCCTTGTAGTTGTGGCAATTCTGCTTTAAATATTTTGAGTCAATGTTATCAAGAGCTTACAGGCTAAGAATTAGCATTTTATATCAACTCTAAGACTCACAAATATTTTACTTTTACTCTTCTAGCTTTCCCCCCTCCAATATATCAAAGGATATGAAAGGAATATAGTAGTTACTCTAAAAATCACACTGTGAATCCTTAAGTAATCAGACTGTAAAATTAGTCAATGCTTTTACTCTTCTTTTGGACAATTCAGACATGGGAGAATAGTTTAATTTCATTAACTTCCATCTGATTCCAGTGTTTATGTTCCAGTGCTGTGTATTTTAATTTTATCTTAAAGTCCATAATATTTTATTGATATTATTTCCTACAGTCAGTATAGATTTACCTACATATTTACACACTCTTTACTATTCATTCCTTCTCATAGCTTCCATTTGGCATCACTTTCCTTTTGCCTGAAGTATATCCTTTAAATTTCCTTAGTAACGGTGTCTTGATGGCAAACTCTGCTCTTCTTTGTCCAAAAATGTCTCTTTGCCCTTGTTTCACTGGATACAGAATCCTAGGTTGACAGTTGTTTCCCTTTAGCATTAAAGGTATTTCATTTTCTTTTTATTTGAAAATAAACTCTTTTCTCTCTGGGTACTTTTAAGTTCTTCTATTTATATATATTATATTTTTATTTATATATTTTTAAAGGCAAGATTATTGAGGTATAATTTACATAAAATAAAATTAAGCCTTTTTTACATATAGAGTTCACTGAGTTTTGACAAATGTAGACAACCATAATTACCGCCAAAATCAAGGTATAGAACATTTCCAACACATAAAGTTCCTTCATGCCCCTTTGTAGTAAATCACCTTGCCTAATCCCCAGCCTGTGGCCACCACTGATCCCATTCTGTCCTGTAGTTTTGCCTTTTCAAAACTGTCATATAATAAGGAATAATGAGAAGTTATTGGTTAATGGGTTCGGAGTTTATGTTTAGGATGACAAAAATGTTTTGGTAATAGATAGAAGTGATAGTCACACAGCATTGTGAATGTAATTAATGCCACTTAACTGTATGTTTAAAAATGCTTAAAATGGCAATCCTTATATATATTTTACCACAATAAAAAAGAACAATAATAGGAAAAAGATGTCATACAACATAAATCATACTGTATATAACTTCACTGTATCTGAATTTTTTCACTTAGAATGCTTTGAGATTCATCTATATCACTGCATGTATCAATTCCTTTCTATTGCTGAGCAATTTTCTTTTATATGAATATACAACAATTTGTTTATTCATATAGATGTACCACAATTTATCTATTCATTACTTTATAGCCATTCAGGATGTTTCTAGTTTTGGGCATTTATGAATAAAGCTATTATAAACATTCATATATGAGGCACCATGTAAAGATGTGTTTTCATTTCTCATGGGTAAATAAATACCTAGGAGCAGGACCACTGGGTCATATGATAAGAATCTGGCATTATAACAAATTGCCAAACCATTTTCCAAAGTGGCAGTATAATTTTTACACCTACCAGATGTGTGTTTCAGTTCCAGTTGCTCCACAGCCTCACCAGCACATCAATCTTTTTAATTTTAGTCATTCTAGTAAGTATGTAGTGGTATATCATTATGATTTTAACTTGCATTTCTCTGATGAAAAATTATACTGAACATCTTTTCATGTGCTTATCTGCTATCTGTAGGTCTTTAGTAAAATGTCTACTCAAATCTTTTGTCCATTTTTAACTTTTGTTCAACTCATCAATTTTTTTTCTTCTTTTATGGTACATGCTTTATGTATCTCTCCTAAGAAAATTTTATTGACTGACTGACTGATTGTGGCTTGATGGTATGAAGTTTTATGATTTTAGCCCTTACATTTAGGTCCATGATCCATTTTTTGAATCACTGAATGAGGTAAGAGTAAATATTCATTTTTTTGCATATGTATCATTTAATTCCCCTGTGGTCAGAGGACAGACTTTATATGATTTAAAGCCTTTTATATTTGATATATTTGTTTTATGGCCCAAAATATAATCTATGTTGGTGAACGTTCCATGCGTACTTGAATAGTATGTGTACT